ATGTTCCTTGCTTAATACTTCTAAAAATGGATGTAATACCATCAAACTATTATGAGAATGATACTCTTTTAGTTTTAAACATTTTAAATTTCTTTCAAATGCTACTAATGCTATCTCTTTCCAATAATTTTCTAATTCAATAACTTGTTCCTCCTAATTGAAGAAAACAAAATAAGATATAAGATATTCAAAATATAAATATAAAATGAATTTTAATTAATGTTCAATTAAACATAGTAATAACAATAATCATCTTACATATCGAGTAATAATCGTCCCGTTTTTCTGAGATTTGTTTATACTTTCTATCTCCACTGCAATGTTTTTCTCATATTCATGTTGCACTTTTACATAGCTTTTCAATTTATCTATTGTTAACAGGCCTTCTACAGGGCTACAATAATTATTCCTCATGGGAACTTTGTTCACAAGATTAGATGTGTATTGTAAATTCATTGCAGAATATAATGGCTTAAAGTTTGGATCATATAACCTAATTACTTTTAATACATTATCATACTGATTATATTTAAAATGTGTTTCATTAAAAATATCATTCAATGAAATCCCGCCACTTTCCATTTCTGATATCAGTTTTTGTAATAAATCTACATGTAAAAATCAATTACATTAAGTATCCTGTTTTATATCCTTTACAGATAAGACAACTTTGAATAGTCTGGAATTACCTAATTGTTTAATTTTGGCGTTGCTTCGTCCCATAGCATCAAACAAATACACATACGTCTGTGCCGTTGGTACGACGCGATCATTTTTTATCATTGTATATAAATCTAATACTTTTGTAAGATCTTTTCTAAAAGCATATGCTTCTAGAATAATATTATAAAGTTCAATACATTTAGTACTATATTTTAAATTATTCTGCATAATTTTTCTATACTTCATTAGCGTTTTGTTTGCTCTNAATCTTATATAAAAACTTGCCCACATTAGTTATTACATCTATAGGCCAATTGTAACATATAATATTCAAAGATGTACCAACATTTTTCTCTTGTCTTTCATAATATTGCCATACTGTGCGATTGTTCATATTATTGAACTGTTCTATACATTCAGGATGTAAGTACCATTCTAGATACT